TATTCTTTTATCTACAGTGCTGAAATGTATGATTTTGTGCGTTTTCGAAAGCCTTTTTGTCTTCTAACTATCTGTTTTCTTTTGTCCTCCAGGTTGAACATGGTGATTTGGACAGACCAGGTGCCTCCTCTCCCTCTGGCTCTTCTCAGCCTAAATCTCAAATAATTCTCCTTCAAGCCTTAGAACGCTTCTACCCAAAACGCTACAAACAGGACTGCAGCTCAGAGCAGCTCAAGTAAAGAAAAAAAAAACCCAAAAACAAATAAACGTGCCATTCCACAATTTCTTAATCTAGAACCTGATCTGAGAACTTTATAAAGCTTTGTTATCCTGCCATATTTTAACTCACCACTGTTCCTTTTATCCTCTCAGAGACCTTACCGAGCGTCTCGCCACTAAGTGGTCAATGCTGCGTGGGTGCAGTGCATCCGAGTGTGTAAGAATATACCTAACTGTGGCTCGGAAATGGCCTTTGTTTGGAGCCAAGCTCTTCAGTGCCAAGGTAACAAAAAAAAAGTTGAATACATGTCTTCTGTTGTTTTGTTACTGATGTTATTCTATGTGAACTTTATCGCCTCCTGTTTGTCTAATCAATCTTTAAATGTCGGTCTTGATGTGATTCTTCATCAAAACCAAAAAGCATACTTAGATCATTTTGAACCAAAACCTTGAACTAAGCTTTCAAGCCCAAACCTGTTTGAGACGAAGCTGTATAACATCTGTAAAACGACCCTTCTTTGTTTCCCCTGTCCACAGCCTGTACCCCCCTCTACTATTGAGCAGAGCCAGGTGTGGCTGGCAGTCAATGAGGATGGATTGTGTGTGCTGGACTACACAATGGTGAGTTTCAAGCTGAGCAGACCATCCTGTCATGTGTTTTCAGAATAAAATCTGCTGCCAGAACAATTTAGAATTTAGAAAGTCCATTCTTTTATTGAATTTCCGGCTTGACTTTATAACTGTTAAATCTAGAGATAGCTTTTAACTGCTGCAGCAGCTGGATAGGACACAGCTGCAAAGCTTTCTTGACCCACTGGTCTGGAATGATTTTCGTTCTGTGGTGTTTCGAACACCAGAAATCCCAAGGAAAATAAAACGGCCAGCCTCTGAATTGACATACTTGACCCTGACACACAGCAGTTCCATCATGTAAACTATGCTAACGTGAGCTCTGTAATTTTCTGCAGCTCATGTTGATTCATTTCATTCTTGGTCTGGCGTGCAGACCATGTGCCTTCAGAAAGAAATGGGAGAAAACAAAGTGAAAATCAGAATAAGTTGCTGGAAATTATGTCACATATCTTCACACTCAATTTACTCCTCAAAAAGAAGGAGAAACCAAAATGATTTCCTAAGTGAATTCCATACTATATAATGGGGTCAGCAATAAAATCTGAACATGAATTCTGTTTATATCCACTTCACTGCAGATTTCACACTGGCAATGCTCCTTTTTTTCAGCACACTCTGGTCACGTACTCCTACCAGTCTGTGATTACCTTTGGTGGTTGTCGTGATGATTTCATGGTGGTCACGAGCCAACAGAGGGAGGCTGGAGCCGGGAAGAAGAGCGTGGAGAAGCTGGTCTTTGCAATGCCTAAACCTAAGGTATACTTCCTGCTTTTATCATTGTAATTATATATCTATTTGTGGTCAGATTGCATTTACCTAATCAAGGTAAACATATTCAGTTGGCTTTCTTGCATTTTCTGGGCTTCCAGCTCACCTGAATTACATAAAACTCATTAATATCATTGACTTTAGGTTGTTAAAATCTATTTTCACTCTCATGTCAGATACTGGAGCTGACTCTGCTCATGGCCAGCTACATTAACCACTGGAACCCCAGCCTCCCATCTGCCTCTCACCAGCCCCTCAGTCACTGGGATGCAGACAGCAGGCACTTCCCAACCATGAACTACACCACCAAGGGCCCCACGCTACTGTGAATTGCGAAAATAAAAAAAAATTGAGAAAGACTGTTAGTAGAGGGAGGTTTGATGGCAGCAGTTACTATTACTTTGCATTCATCTGGAGTGCACTGGGTTGCATGTCCTGAGTTTTCATTCTTACAGAAGAGGTACTTTTATTAAAGTTTTTATTATTGTTGTTGTTCTTATTAAGAGTTAGAATTAGAAATGTCAGGATCAGTCTTTTAGACTATTTATTTCAACACAGGTGTTTCAACTTTGCATTTCATAGGTGCTAGTTCACTTGGGAATTCAGTGTTGAAATTGGACATCAGAACCATTCCTGAAATACTGTAATGATCTGAGGACTTGATGATACTCGATGTTCCCACTTGCAGAAGTCATAATTTGTCTGCCTGTGTGTCACTAGAATTTTTCATCATCAGCGATCAAAAGTAAATGACAATGAAGCAAGAGTCTGAATATGATGAAGAGCTGCTGCTCGTTTAGAAAGGAGCTAATGTTGCGTATTTTAGGACAGATTCATACATTTTAATCTGTTAATTACCCATAATATAATATTTGACTAATGTAGGGCGGCAAATAGCAATTAATATGGTAGATTGAAATGACTAATTTCTCGATTATCTAATTAATGAAATATTTTGTCCTGCAAATGTCAGAAATTTCAGTTGATGCCCCTCACAGATGTCTCTCTAGCAAATGGACAGATTCAGATTTAGTTGAAAAATAGTCTAAAAAGTTGAAAGTTGGAAAAATATTTGACTCTTGAGTTACTGGAAACAGTGAATTGATAGTATTTTCTTGCTTTGTTCTTTCACAATAAGACAAAATGGTCTTCCCTAATTACACTAAACATACAGTATATTTAAAATTACATTATTTTTAATAGATCATCAGGCAAACAAAAGGAGAGAACACTTTCTTTCTTTCTTTTTTTTTTCTTAAAAGAGCTATCAAAATATTATAATGACTTGAACTGTTTTGGATAAACCACTGTCTTGCTTATGTTCATAATAGCTATTTATTTCTCCATAACATTAGGAAATGTTTACCACAAATGTCACATTTGTGTGGGGAAAATGTAGTTTCCTTTGTGTAGCAGAGTACGTCTGGTTACTGTATTGACATATGTTGCAATTGTTTAAAAGATGTAGCTTATATGTCTGTGTGTGGTTATTAAAATAAATGATAAATTCCTGACTTTTTTTTTTTTAGCTCCAGTTTTGTATAAATTTTGTTATGTAGACTATTTAATACTTCAGAGTGGTAGAAAGTATTGCAACTAAGTACATTTTTTTTTTAAATTCAATTTTCAATTGTTTTATTTAAATAGCATCAAATCACAACATCAGTTGCCTCTAGGTGTTTTATATTGTAAGATAAAGACCCTGCAATAGCAAAGAGAAACCCCCAACAGTCAGACAACCCTCTAGGAGCAAGCAATTGGCAAGAGTGGGAAGGAAAAACTCCCGTTTAACAGGAAGAAATCTCTGTTGAGTTGGGCTCAGGGATGGGCGGCCACCTGGCATGACTAGGCGTGCTTCCATTTTTATTAATTATGTGTCTAAGGAAATGGTAGAAACATTTTAAATGCTATTAACACTTGTCCTATTTTCTTTTCCTGGAACAAATGTTCCACTGGCTTTCCCTTATGAAACACTCCTGCTACTAAGTACTATAAAGTTTAATCATGAATCAGAAGGTTTAAGCAATGGTGACAAGAATCGTGTTCTAGCCAAAGCGTCCCTTGGAGAGCACAGAACTTCTTCTCTCATTCATTTTGTCCATAAACTTACCTTCTGTGCCGGTTGTACACAGCCTTCCAAGTATATATTATCATGCTCTGTTTTTTCTTATCCAAGGAGGTCAAAGTGGTAATGGTATTTTCCTGCCAAATGTATGCTATAAATTCCAGATTTTTATAGCTTGTCTGGAGCTCTTGTTGTTCCATAACTACTCTCATACAAAATGAAATTCTATTATAGGGCTCACTGCTAAATTTCTACATGCCTTCATTTCTAAACAAAAAAGAATATCTTTTGCACTTTATCCATGGTGCAATAAGGCCACATGCTCTATTTGAATTTATAGCAAACAATCTCAATGTTGTAGCTGTAGATGAACATTTGCTTACCTTGAAAGTCTTACTGGATGTGTTTAACTAGACTAATGTTTGCAAAGGAGGATGTCTGTACATAGTTTAAAAACATTGTGTTCGTATCTGACTGTTTACTTCACAAAGTCATCCAGAGTTTACCCTTTGCTGTTTTCTCTGTAACCTTATGTTCTTTAAAAATACACAAAGCAGGTGATATTTCTTAACTAGTTTCTTCAGAGTGCAGTTTGGCATCCTAAATGCATCAATTTGCTTAAAAGTAACACAGAGACAAAAAAGAAAAATAAGAAAAAAACAGTGCTGGAGGAAGAAAAAAGTTTGAATAACAGAACAAATTATATTGTGAAGAGTAAAAATACTCAACTCAGCACTACACAAAAAATGACCCTATTCAAACGTATAAATATACAATAAATAATGTTACAGGGATTCAACAGTGTGAGTCCTACATACATTTCACATCTTTGTAAAACAACACATTTAACTGGAAAAGCAATGGGAATCTACAGCACCTGCTCTTAATTGACCTCTATGGATCACAATGTCGGTACATTACAAAAGGGCTCGCGCAGATATTATGCAGATATGCATGCATTCTACAGATAAAACAAAATGCATGACTTTAAACCGTTATAAACACTTTCAAATATGAACTTTGGACAAATGGGATAATTTCCAAATTTGTCTTTAGCTGACCTATTTACACACTTGTACAACACCACATCACATGGACCTTGCACCACAAAGCTGTTTGACTAATGTGTAATCTGACTTGCCCCACTGCTGTGTTTTTACGTTGACTTCTACCGAGTGACGTCTGAGTTCACGGTGCATGGCAATTACACCATAGATGCCGGGTGTGTGTGTGTGTGTGTGTGTGTGTGTGTGTGTCAATATCTGATTTTATTTTATTAATTTATTGAAGAGGTATTGTATAGTGTGTTGCTTCTAGATCCCCAAACCCCTGAAAACCACGAATAGTGCTCGTGAGTGGTCTCATTCTGGCGTGCACACCAGGGCTTTGACCCATCTAATATTATAGGATTATAATTAATTTAATTAAAACGCATGCATTTGTAATATAAACAATGCATAAAGATTTAATAGCTGCCTTTGTTTAATATAAAGCACTAAGTGCATATTAATTATCTATACATAGGATTATTTGCTTTACGTTTATCGGTGGCTGGATTAAATTAAACTATTCAGAGAGTGGAGAGGTAAGTGTGGGCCCGTGGGGGGGGGTAACTACTCCATATTAGCCTAGCCTAGCCTAGCCCGTGAGCACTCGGATAGATAGCGCTGCTGCGCTGTCTCCAGCGTGGGCTGCCGCTACAGGAGCAGAGGAACCTCTGAGTCAACCGTGAGCCGCACGGGGCAGGACACCACCGAGCAGCCTCACCGAAGAGCACGAAATCCACAGGTTTGTTGCGAGTTAATCAGCACCGACGTAGGTGTAATACAGCATTAACGCCACAGTAGCAGTAACCTTACAGGGCGTGTAACAGCGTATGGCCGTGTTTTCTGTGACAGGGCATCTAAAAACACTAAAAATGACAGCCACAAAGCCACAGAGCATGCTCCGAGAAGCCTCTCGTCAGGTCATCGCCGGTGGATCCGCTGGTAAGTCCAACCATGGTTTAACTTTTAATGATTTTTAGACGATTTATTGAAATCCCTTGACACTTCTGAAAGCGTGAACGTAGCGAGGTGAAAGCAGCATCGCTACACGAAAAGCACCGACGCACTTCTCCACTACTTTCTCATTAAGCTACTAACTGTTTCTCGTTGTCCGTGGAGCCCAAAGATTTTCTTGTGCTGCCAAGATAATTCCCACCCTCCTCAAATGCTGAATTTGCACACCGGGACATAAAGCCAATTGTGCGCATGCGCGCAACTGCTAATCAACTTAGCTTTCAGCTTTAATAAATTGCTGAACGATATTATTGCTGGACAAGCTTATTCAGTACCAGTTTAGACAAAGAAATTAGGTAAATGCTCATTTTGACATCACTGTTATTAAAAGTATAACTTCCATGCAAGTTGTTTTCTATCACTATTTGTTTTCCTTAGATATGTAGTAGGCTAATAGTCTTGGAAATGCGCGTTATTGATTGGCTCCCAGATCAAAATCTGCATTTGTTTATCAGTTGAGTAACATTTTCAAAATAGAAACTCAGTAGAGTGATGATATTCTTCTTAGTGAGCACTCCACTGAAGGATGGAGAGAGAGGCAGACTTCCATTAAAGTTGCTAAAAGTTATGTTACATTAAAGGTGGATATGAGGAGCAGTGAAGTATGCACATCTGGTTACAGCAGTTTTGAAATTATGCTGATTTTTTTCTAAGACTGTTTGCCTAAGATCGGCACGGTTAAATGTGTTGAAGTCCAATCTGTCAGTTTTACACCAGCAACTCTCAGATATTTCTGTGATAAACCTAGAAAAAGCTGAAGCTGAAGAAGTTAACCGTTTTTAATGTCTTCAGAAGTGCTTGCAAAAAAAAATACTCAAATTGGTTTTAAATGGTGCTAATAAACTCTTTATTTTTCCAACATATTAGAATTCAAAATATTTTTATGGCTTTACTTTATTACTCTAAATACTTTTTGTGCATAGAGAAGATATATGTCGCCTTACCATTACTGTGTTTTAGTATTAGATTATCCATTCTGGATTGTCTCAAATGTTCAAATATTTTAACAGTGTTGGAACTAGAATAGAGTATTTCTAAAGACTCCAAAATGAAACGTAAAGTTTAAACCTCTGGCTACCATGTGAGGGGGAAAAAAAGAAGTTCAAATTGAGTGGGTCACAGTTGCAAAGCGAGAACAAACTAAATAACCTTTAAAGTGTCTTTTGTCTATGGATACAAGACACTTGAAAGATCATGAAATACACACTATCCTTCTTATCATCAGAGACAGAACATGAAGAACTAACAAAAAAACAACTTTTTAAAAAATGTGAACAGCAAACAGCTTTATTACAATCAGTAACACAAATGTCCTTCACTGTGTTCTAAAAACAATTGACAGCAACTCTGAAATGAAACTCAACAAATGCTACATTCATTTTAGTCCCGGTGCTCTCAGGCAACGTCATCACTGAGCGCTCCACACTCGGCGACCTTTAGAAAATCCCAGGGACCTCAAGGCTGTACTATTTACATATTTGTGGAGTGCAAAATGAGTTGTTCTATTTTTGCGTTTTTATGTTTCAAGTTAAATCACTTGGGTTGTGATTTATTTACCTTCATCTGACACCATGATGGAAGTGGGTTGCTGGGTTTGCATAGTCGGGGATATACAGATGGATTCACTGCTTATTTTAAAAGAGGAGATCTTTATAGCCAATTTCAATGTGTCTGGCTAGAGATAGTCACACTTCATAAAAAGAAGGCAATAGTAATTAGTGGTCTTATTATATATCTAATCAAATGAAAGTTAATTAAATTTCACAGTGAGAAGGGATAGTTTACTAACGCTTTTATGGTTTCCTAAAAAAAGTAACGTAGCGTCACTCATCCAAGTGACTTCTTCATTCTCAGCTGACTGCAGGTTTCCCAACCTCATAAACAGCATGTTTGCATAATTGCAAACTAGCACCACATGTTAACAGCTAATTGTTAATCAGTGGTGCTAGATTTCAGTCATTATGCAAATATACTGTTCATTACCATGTTTCAATATTCGATTAGCCTTGTCTCAAAATATTGAAATATTTGATAACTTTGGTGCTAGAACAGTTTTTCCTAAAGACTCTCAAATTAAACAGGGGTTAATTAGGATTTAATTAATTTAACTATATTTATATTTTTGAAAAAAAGAGACTTTAAAGTTCATCAGCTTAGAAAAAGGCTCTTTCTTAATTTTAAATTTAATTATGTATTTAATTTGCTCGTTTATCTCTTAATTTTAAGTGTTATATAAAACTTAGACATCAGAGTCAAACTGGGGTTCTGTCACTTCAGGATTATGAGTTTTAATTCTGTATGAAAGACACCATGCCTAACCAGAAAGGGAGCAGAACTGAGCTTTGTTTTGTCTTTGTCTTGCTTCACAACACTTTCTGAGTGGTGAATGTGAAATGCGTTACATTTGAAATGTTGAAATTGGCCACACACTGGTTGTGGTTCACTGCGTTAGAAACTGTGCGTCCACTGTTCTTTATACTGGTACATTTTTGTGAGATGTGTATATATAAAACTATAGTTTTTATTTTGCTTATATTGTAGGATAGCCAGGGAATGATTTGAACAAATAAGCAGAAGTCTCCGCTGTTGTCAGTGATTCTGCAGTTGCTGGAATGTCTTTGGTTAAAGATTTGCACAGTTAGTCATTGAATTTGAGTAATCATTTACCCTTTAAAAAGAACCACTGTGAAACTTCAGCTTTAGTTTCCATTACTCTTGATGTGCAGCTCACTGTCTGACAGTTTGAACTTGTGGTTTGTGTGGATTTCTGCATTGGATGTGAGGGGGAGAAAAAGAAAGTTGTGGATGCTTTGTTAAAGTCTTTTAATGCATACAAGGATGCAGTCATTCCAACAGAATTTCTTTTATGGCGAAATTTTCATTTTCTAAAAGCTGATTTTTGTCTACATTAACTCAACCTTTAACATGAATATTATATGTTTATTTAGACATCAAGGTAGTTGTGTTCCTCTAGCCATTGTTTGTTTGTAGACTGAAGTGGCGGTTTTGCAGTTGCAGGATTGCTCATTATTTTGCAAAAAAATTAGCAAAATGGTATTTTTTTTTTATATAGACAAACCATTTGGTTTGTCTATATAATGTTATTTTTCATGTTGTTGCTGATGTCCTCCTCACTGACTTTATCTATGATTTATTTTTTGTCTACATATAGTTTTTATCTTAATCTTCCAGTTTAAGAATATATTTCCTAAATATTTAAAGACTGGACTAATATAATATTCACTTTTGATATGCCAAAATATTGTTTGAATCATTCGCAATTTTCTCTCAGTATTTCGGAGCAATATTTACATTGCACTTCCATATTTATATTAATATTGCGTGCAGTATTTATATTTCTTTTGCATTTGTATTGAAACAATAAAAAAATGTAAATTACTTCATCACACGGATTAGCTATAGAGTCAAACCCAGTAACTTTACAAATGCCTACGAAACCTCTTGCTCAACATTATATTCGCCTCCTTTCATCAAAAGATTGTCTTTCGAGGTGAAAGTGAAGCCTAAAACACGTATTCTATTTCATCAGTCTCGTTTTTTATGTGCATGCCAATTTTGCTGACTTGCAGTCTTCTGTTATTGGCTAAACTGGTGTTTCAGTTGTCATGCCATTGTTCTTACTTTTTATGTGGTTAAAGCTAAAAGTGAGTAGAGGCCTTTTGTGACCGGTTTGTTCCTGTGCCATATTTGTCATTATCAATTTAAAGGCAAATAAATATATCTATATCTATATATCTATATAGATATAGATATATATATGAAATGAGGTGTTATATTATATTATTGCAGCTTGTCTATCCTTGTCGATTCCTCACAAGCCCCTGGGTCTGACAACCTTCTGTCTTGATTCGCACTCATCTGTGATGGGGGCGTTCAGGGGCAGAGGGTTATACCAGAAGAGAAAGACCTCACTGTTTTAACTTTTTTGAAAATCTTGATTCTGTGTTAACAGGGAGACTGGAGATAATTTATGTACAACCTGGTCACAGGGCTTTAGTTAAATGCGGTTTGAGCGAAGAAAGCTGTATTCGTCACTCTGTAAAGTGATCTGATTTCAGCTTGGCATTCTAGGTGCAAGCAGCTATTTTTGACCTTTTATAGGGTCAACACTCTAACTGGGCTCCATTTCTTTGTAAAGACGGGTTGTGAACTTCTTTCCTGTGATAAGCTGACAGTTTGTGGAGTCTGTGTGTCTGTTTCAATATGTTTTTTGGTGAATATCGAGTTTCTGTGAAATACACTTTTTTGCAAATTATTTTGTTTTTAAACAAAACTGAAACATTAATTTCAGTCTCTCCTTCCTCACAAAGTTTAAATCTTAGTCGCGGTTAGTGGGTTTTAGGCCCATCTTTTGAGGAGCAGCATGTACTCTGTATTGTGTGAGGGTGTGTTAAAATGGTAAAAATGGTAAATGGCCTGCATTTGTATAGCGCTTTTCTAGTCCATAGGACCCCAAAGCGCTTTACACTACATTCAGTCATTCACCCATTCACACACACATTCACACACTGGCGATAGCAAGCTACATTGTAGCCACAGCTGCCCTGGGGCACACTGACAGTTAAACAACTGCATTGTTGACACAACAAAATAAGAGAGTAGACAATATTTACAAATGAATCTTATAAAGTAGAAGTTGAGGAAATTGTTCATTGTTGTTACCAGTGCGTTTGCAATAGGTCTACATTCCACATATTATCACAACAGAATTATTATGGTTAGAATTATAAAAGAATTCAGTTTAGCTTCCACAGTGGGGTTGCTTGTTTTACTTAGTTTACATTGATTAAAAATATGGGTTTTTTTTTTTTTTTTTTTTGTTACAGATTTAAATGTATTCATTCGTTTATTTAATGTAACACTGGTTTATTTGCTTATTTATACAAACTCAACATTAAACTTATCCA